GCTGCTCACTGGGAAGGCAAGTCACAGTCCAGCTGTTTGGGAGAGGAAGTCCAGAAAAGGTGGGGGGCACTTGGGCGTAGATGTCTCTCTGACATCTCTACCTCCTGTGGTAGGAAGGGTGGACTCTGGTGCCAGGTCAGAGCCCCAGACTTGTTGGTGGCCTGTTATTTGGCTCTGGGGTGCTCACAAAAACCTGCTTCTGGTGCTAGCAGAGAGGCTGGTCTCTGTCCTGGGGACAGCAGGAGGTAAGGAGGTAACACCATGGGTACTAACAAGTGTGTCTGTGTATCAGGGTGACATTGAGGAGCCGGTGGAGCTGACAGCATCACTGCAGAGCCTCAGTGCAAGCACATGCTGGGTTGTGTTGATGATGGGTGGCGGGCACTTCGCAGGAGCAGTGTTCCGGGGGTGAGTACAGCGGGACTGTCCCTCTGAGCACAGTCAGCTGCAGCTGCTTTTGCATGTTAATGCCACGCACACTAAGCTCTGTGGCTTATGCCTGCCCCTCTCCACAGCCTGCAGGTGCAGGAGCACAAGACCTTCCACCGGTACACGGTGCGAGCACGGCGGGGCACGGCGCAGGGCCTTCGGGACGCCCAGACCCCGGGCTCAGCCCCCAGATCCGCTGGGGCCTCCCTGCGCCGCTACAACGAGGCTGCTCTGCTCAAGGTGAGGGTGCACTTGGCAGGGAGTGCTCCTGCTGCCTCTGCCAGGCTGCTGCTGGGGGCCATGGCAGGGGCAGTGGGCTCCGGAAAAGGGGAAGGGCCCAACTGAGGCTGCTCTCTTCTGGATTTGTCCCCACTCCAGAGCTACATTTGCCCATATAGTGTGCTCAGGATCCCATAAAGCTTCTCCTTTCTCCCCAGGATATTCAGGACCTCCTGGCAGCCTGGGCACAGCACCTGAGTGAAGCTCAGCGCATCTTCCTCCGGGCGCCTCATCACAACCGTGCGCTGCTCTTCGGTGGCAGGAGCCCACCCCTCACCCGAGGGGACCCTCGCATCTGCCACATCCCCCTCAGCACTCGCAGGGCCACCCTGCGAGAGGTGCTGCGAGTCCACACCACGCTGGCCAGCCTGCAGGTGTATGGTGAGTTGGGCCAGCCCTTGTGCCTGTGGGTCAGGGCAGGTGGGGTGACGGGGTCGCTCGTGCATTAGGGGACACTACCCTATGGGGTGGAGGTGCTAGCTCTTCAGCCCTCAGACCCTGGAGACATGGGGTGCTCCCTGTCCCCAGGTAGTGACAGGAGCACCCTTGCTGCCCAGGGAAGGACACGCCACTGGAGGACATCGTTGGGTCCCCCAGGAAGGTCTGGCAGAAGAGGCAGCAGAAGGCAGAGGTGCATCCCCCGCAGGAGGACACAACTGGTGAGTTGAACCATGCAGGGAGACATGACTCTGAGCAAGCAGGAGGGGTTTGATGTTATTGCATGGGCATGGGCCAGATTTGCAGCTTCAGAGTGTGGCTGGACAGGAGAAAGACAGGGTGTTCTTGGCTCAGAGCCCCGAATTCTGTGTGTAGAGCCCTATCCCCAGTCTTATCACCCTCCTCAGCCCCAGAGGAGGAGGAGGAAGAGGAGGAAGAAAGCCCTGCAGGAGAACTGGAGACTGTGGAAGTGACACTGGGGACCTTGGACCTCCGGGAGTTCGAAGTGATGCCCAAGCGAAACCGCAAAAGGAGGAAGAAGAGGGACAAGAAGGTGGAGAAAGGTGAGGGGAAGAACTGGCAGGGGCAGTGTAGGAAGGCCATGGCTGGGATGCAGGCTGACACTGACCCTCTTCCTCACGTGCTGCCTGTGCAGGGCCGTGTGCTAAAGAGACTGGTGGGCAGCCTGGCTTGGAGGCAGTGACAGAGCTTCAGGGGGAGGCTGAGGCTGGGCTGCTTCCCTGGAGCAATGGAGGTAAGTGGTGTTGGGAGCTGTGTTGGCTGGATGCCTGCCCCATTTACTGGTGGCTTTTCAGTGGGGTGAAGAGCACATTGTCATGCAGATACCCAGAACAGCTGGGTCTGAGAAGTCTTTAGTGCAGTTGCAGTCATGTGCTTTTGAGTGAGCTGTGTGTTTGGAGCCAAGGGGACCAGGCAGCACCTGGCTAAGCCAGGTGTGTTGGGGGGATTAGAGTGGGTCTTACTGCAGGAGGAGACTTGGCTGCTGACAACAGTGCCTAGCAATGCCATAGCACATGGCCACAGACTCTGAAGGTGCTGGAGATCCTGCAGTGCCCAAATCCAGCTAGCAAGCTGAGGCATTGTGTGTATTCCCTGGCCAGACCAGAGTGCTGCTTTGCCCAATCTGCCCATCAGACTCCCCTCCTGTTCTTCCCTCACAGGAGACCCTCAGACCCAGCTCTGCGATGCTCTGTTCACTGCCTGCAAGACAGGGGATGTGCAGACACTGCGGCACTTCCTGGGAGTGCCAGAGAATGGGGGCCTGCCAGAGCACAGTGAGGATGGGCAGTCTCTGGATATGGCCCGCTCCCTGCTGAACCAGCCCGTGGACGAGCAGGGCTGCACCCTGCTTCACGTGGCAGCTCAGGCTGGCAGGGCTGAGGCTGTGTGTCTGCTGCTGCAGGCAGGAGCGGACCCTGCCCTCAGGTATGGCTGCAGGGCACCCAGTGGTTCATAACTCCAGCTGTGAGAGTCCAGCAACTCACTCCTGTCTCAGCCACAAGAAACTGGTGCCACTCTTGTCCTGGGACAGCCAGTACTGGTCTCTGTGACCTGGGATGTCTGGGGTTTTTATGGGAGGGCTAGGAACTGAACCACCCTTCTCTCTGCCTGCCTGGTCTGGCGTGGCAGCAGGGGGCACTGCCTCAAGGTGCACCCAGCTTTATTGGTGGGCTGTTCCAAGGGCCAGGATGAGACAAAAGCCCCATGCAGGGGCTTTGAGAGGCAAGGAGGACTTGGAGGATTCTGGTATAGGGATAAGGAACTTTCTCCTCCTTGGCTGTGATGTTGTGGCCTGCAGTACACGCTGCTCATCTCTGGGGGGATCTCTGGGCTCACAGCCCAGTGGGATGCAAACAGTGAGATGGCAGTGTGAGCAAGCTGGTCTCCCTTATCTCACAGGGACAGGCAGGAGAGGACTCCATACTGCACCTCTGCTGACAGACGGACCCGCAATGCCTTCCGCAAGTTCATGGTGGCCCATCCAGACAAGTACGACTACAGCCGTGCCAAGGTGGGGCCTGCCCGCTGCCCTCACCCACAGGGGAGTCCCAGAGCAAAGCTCTCCCTTCCCACTCGTGCATTGCCCCGGCTCAGTGGGAGATGCTGCCTGCCCTCAGGTGCCAGGGCCCCTGACACAGGAGATGGAGGCTAAGAAGCTGGAGAAGAAGCGGGCACAGAAAGCCCAGCGGAAGCAACGGGAGCAAGCACAGCGGGAGGAGCAGCACCGCCGGGAGCAGGAGCAGGAAAGGAAGCAGTGGTTTGCAGCCCTGTCTGACAGGGAGAAGGTGAGGATTGGGAAGGGGATCCAGCCCAGAGGGGGCGGTGCTGATGTGGTGGGCTCTGGGCACAGCAGCTCCCAGGGCTGCAGGGGCTGAGCTGTCTCTGCTCCCCAGAGGGCACTGGCTGCTGAGAGGAGGTTGGCTGCACAGCTGCAGGACACCAGCACGACTCCTGCCAACATCAGGTAACCATCCCAGCAGCATGGCTCTGAAGACAAATCCTCCCATGTCAGTACAGCTGTTCCCTGTCTTTCTTGCTCCAGTCCTCATTTCCAGTCCAAAGCTATTCCTGACCACTCAATTCCCACTAGTGCTTGGGTAAAAGTTTCCTCCCTCTCTTGCCCTGCTCCCCTGAAATATTTTGCTGATGACTTGGTCCACTTCCAGCCAGATCTGCAGCAAGCCAACGCCCCAGCCACTCCTGTGTCCCTGTTTACTTTCCTCTGCCACCCCACCAGGTTTGTTGGCAGCCAGCATTCCCCATGCTTAGCGGGGCAGGGGCTTTACAACCTTTATAGGGCCAAGCCCCTAAATGTGGTATTCACACCTAAATGTTCATTCTGCCTCAAAGTACCTCACATCACGCTCTGACAGACCATGTCCCCCAGGGAGTATGTCCTGGCCAGGCCACGGGGTGAGCACATCAGCCCTGTGGGACCAGAGGAGCCCCAGCTCCCTCGGGCTGCAGGTGTCTTGTGTCACAGTCCAGACAGGGAATCCTTTCCTCTACTAACTCTTTTACAAGCGTCCCCTTTGCTCAGGGCCAGCTCTGCTCTTTCCTGCAGCCGCTGCTGGCAGTGTGGAGAGTCCCTGTTGGGACGGATCCCCTTCCACTACCTCGACTTCTCCTTCTGCTCCACGGCCTGCCTGCAAACACACCGCCGGGCCCAGGCTGGCCACACCTAACGCTGGAGGCTGCTGCCACCTGCCAAGGACTACTGTGGTGGGGATGTGGCTGAGCACTGGCTGTGCAGCAAGGGAGAGCCTGTGCAGCAGCAATGGTCAGAGGGACTGAGCTGGCCATGTCACTCTCTGGGCATGAATATCCCTCTGGGTGGTGACTCTGGCAAAGTTAATAACTGAGAGGTCTCCATGTGCCAGTGTGAGGGGCTGGGACTGTTTGGTGGCCTGGCTTCAGCCAGGGGTCCTGCTGCCAGCTTTTCTCATGGCTACCTCACAGGTTGCTATCTGTAGGTGTAAGGACAGATCCTGACACATACAGACCCTGCAGCCCTGAGCTACCTCCAGCCATGCCTGTGGACACCATCAAGGCTGTGCTTTTACCTGTCCTCTCCTGGCTGCCATCAACATCTCAGCCATCATGTTAGCAGCTACTTCCTCTGCCTACATTGTCAATAAAGAGGTGCCTTGACCCCCTGGCCATGGGGGAATCAGCATGGTCACTGGAACTATTTGGGATGAGTGTGGCATTGACATGCACATCAAGCTCAGTCCTGGGTCCCTTACTCCTTAACACAGGCCCTACCTGCCCCCAGAGGTCTGTGCCACTTTCCTTAGCCCCTGTGCTTCCCCAGCCCCAGTGAGAGGCAAGGCCAGTGCCCAGCAGTGTTTACTCTGTGGCCGTGGTGCTGCAGCCAAGTGTCCTGTTGTAAAGGGGTCGGTCAAGGAAGAGCAGGAGGGGAGTGGGAGGTGCCCCTTCTAGCTCCAGCACTGTGATGTTGTTGGGGTGGCCAGCGTGCAGCACCGAGCCAGGCACAAAGAGGGTCTGCTGGGGCCCACGACAGCTCCAGTACCGGCCCAGGTTGAAGCCATTTATCCACAGCAGTCCCTGGAAGATGATGGAGATGGCACTGAGCTGTGTCCTGGTCCACTCTTACCCCTTTCCCAGTTATGCACTGCCTTACCTTGCTCCAACCTGGGAACTTCACGAAGGTGTCCCAGGCGATGCCAGGTGTCTCAAAGGTCCCAGTGTAGAAGGCTGGCCCCACTCGGCCCCCACTTGATTTTGGCAGAGCAGTGTGGGGCCAGCCCTGTTGGACTGCAGTGTCTATGGCCAGGGGATAGATCAGCCAGTTGCTGAGAGGCCTGGAGTTCAGTGAGAGGTTTCCCAGCAAGCCCTGAGATGGAACAGGAGGGGAAATGAAGAAACAGTATCTGCCAGGACACTTGGGGCAGCCCCAGGGCGTGTCCCCCTGGCAGCAGTGAAGGTGGGATGGGATCCCCTCTAAGGAGTGAAGAGCCCTGGCCGCTGTGGCAGCCTAAGTGGGAGAGGGGTGCTAGTCTCTGAGCCCTGTCCTGGCAGGTTTGAGATGAACCAGGGAGCAGGGCTGGGATTAGCCCCAGCAAGGCCGGACTCTGTCTCAGGTGGCAGTAGAGAGGGTGTTTGGTCACATGGGTTGCCAGGCCATCCCCTCTGGAGCCTCAGGGCGCTCTCCCCTTACCTTGAAGTCACTGGTGTTGGCCCCGAAGCTGATCCTGCCCATGTTCTCCATGAGGATGTCCAGGCTGTCCCCTGCCCTGCCCGTTACATGCAGTGTTGTCTGCCCGTCCCGCTCCAGCGTTCCCTGGTACTCCTAAAGCCGCAAAGTCAGTGCTGCTAGCCCATGTTTGGATCCCACCATTCCCAACACTGCCAGCAGGCACATACCATCCTGCTGCCAGCCTGCCAGAGCCAGGGCTGCTCTCTGCCCCCAAAGGAGACAAATTTGGGCCCAAGAGCCACCCTGCAAAGGCTCAGTATGGCTTTTGGCACCCTGGTTGTCCCCAAGACCCTGGGATGGCATAGCCCCACTGCCAGCAGGTCCCACAGCCTCTGGAGCACTGTCCCTGGTGTGCTCCCATAGCCTCACCTTCTGCAGCATCACATAGCCACGGTCACAGATGCTGTGGGGAGGAGCACCCAGCGTGGCTGGGTCTGGGACATCCCAGGGCAGCTGTGTGTGGTACATCACAAAGCCATGGATCTGCAGGACATAGTGCAGTGGCACAGGAAGGGAAATGGAGCTGGAAGTGAGTTCTGCTCCTCTATCCCGGGGCCAGGGAGAGTTTCATTAAGTGTCCACCACTACACCCAGCCTCTCACCTGCTTCAGGGCCTCAAAGGTGAGAGGGAACTGGCTCTGGATGGGCCCAGAGGGGCACAGCACATCCATGACATCCAGGAGGTCAGCATACTGCAAAGAGAGGGATGGGTGCTGGGCAGGTGAGCAGTGCCACGCTGGGGCAGTACGGCCTTCAGGATGGGCACTCACCTTGCGCAGGGCCACCCAGCCATAGGCATACTTGGGGGTGGCAGGTGGCATCGGGCCAGCTGGCAGGGGCTGGAACTGAACAGCAGACTGTCAGCTGCCCCATGGCAAGCAGGGAGCTGTTCTCTGCCCTGCTGGTACAAGCAGCAGTGCCCAGAACTGTCCCCTTACTCCTGCCAGGTTTGTTACCTTGCTGATGACCGTGCGAATGGCAAACAGCTTCTCAGTGGGGTCTCCTGCCTCCGACAGGGGGGCATCATAGTCATAGCTGGTGGTCACTGGTTTGTACTGGCCCTTGTAGTCAGCACCTGGCCAAGGAAGGGGCTCTAGCACAGCCCAGGGCATGGAACCCAGCCCCAGGCTGGCTGCAGTGCAACGTGGGGGGGCATGACCCAGAACTGTGAGCCCTTGCATAGGCACGAAAGGAGTCCCCAGGAGAAGACAAGCTTGGGTTCAAGGGCCCTTGGCTATGTGTCAACCTGCCCCATGGGACAGAACAAGAGCCTGAAGCAGGTTTCTCAGGGATGGCCAAAGAAAGCCCTCCAGCCCTGCAGTGTGCCACTCCCTCCCTAGAGCAAGGCTCTACTCACCACTCCAGTAGGCAAAATTCGTCCCTCCATGGAACATGTACCTATGATACACCCAGAGAGCATGGTCAGCAACCCCCAGACCCAGCAGGGGCTCACCAGGCACTGCCCCTTCCCTCCAGCACCCACAGTCCCTGCTGGCCTGATCCCAGTGGGATGAAGGCAAGAGGTGATGCCCACTGCCCTGGTGGCTGCGCCCTCTGCCAGCTGACTACTTGCATGTTGACGCTGGCTCCCAGCTGCAGCATGTCCTCCAGCCCCCGGGCCACCCACGCTGCACTGGTGCTGGCATGTGCCTCACCCCAGTAGTCCAGCCAACCTGTGTAGTACTCAGAGTTTACCTGGAGGACAAAGAGACTGTCACCTGCAGCCTGGGCCCAGCGCCCCTCCTTGCCTCACTGCCTGGCGCCTCTGCCTCCCCAAAGTTGTCGCGGGTCATTCCCCACACAGCATCCATGCCAAGCTCACCAGGGGTCCCTTCGGTTCCACGCGGCGCTGGGCACCAAACGCCTCTGTCACATTGGATCCTGTGGAGGTGCAGAGGGGGAGGTTTGAGCAGGACAGAGGAGGGACCCCCATCCTCTCTCCTCCTCCCCCATAGGACACCTGGCCCGAAGTCGACGGTGGCATAGAGCCCCTGCAGGGTGCCGCAGTGCAGCTCCTGGGCTCGCGCGCTGTCGGTGGTGAAGAGCAGCACCTCGCTGCCCAGCAGTGCCCGAAAGGAGCCCAGCAGGTGCTGCAGGTATCCATGGTCACAGGCATAGTAGCTCCCATATTCATTTTCCACCTGCAAGCGGGGCAGGGACTGGCAGGCAGTATGCACGTGGCAGGGCTGCAGACAGGTCCCACTGCCCATGGGGATGAGCACCAACCTCCTCCCTTTCCTCTGGACATCATCAGATGTGTTGACAACCCCCCAGGGGATCCTGAGCATAACCTTCCAGTCCCACTGTGAGCTCCAGCTCCGTCAGTGTCCCTCAAACCACATCTGTGGTACCTCAGTTTCCCAGCCCTTGGATTTAAACTAGGTCCAGAAGGTGGGAGGGATTTATCTGAGCTTTGCTGGGTAAGGTCATTGTGTAGGGGATACTGGTGGCTTTTTGGGGCACATCCAAAGATGACCCAGAGCAGGGCATGGGACTGGGCCTCAGAGGCCCTTACCTGCACACTGATGATGTTCCCTCCCTGGTGGTACAGGCGTGGCTTGATCTTGGGCAGCAGGACATGGAGCCAGGAGTCCACAGCTGCCAGGTAGGCTGGAGGGACAGAGGCAGGGCAGGGCTGGCTACAGCATCCACCCCAGCCCACCTGCAGCCAGCCTGCCAGGAGGAAGACAGCAGATGGGGCAGGGTCAAGTGAGATGGAGATGGAGTACAAACTATGGGGCTCTCAGAGGATAGAGATGATGATGGGAAAGACCACAGAGGCAGAGCTGGCAGGTGTGTGGAGGACAGCCAGGACTGGCACCAGGCTATAAGGACATGGTGGCCAGAGGCTGAGCCTCACCAGGGCTGGAAGTGCGCAGGATGATGTCTGGTTTCCACAGCAGCCAGGCAGGCAGGCCACCCTGGAGAAACACACACAGCAGAGAGGGAGGCAGAGAAACTGCTCAGCAGCCTGAGCCTGCACACTGCTGAACTCAGCCAGTGCAATGCTAGTGCTTGGCACCAGCACAAAGGCCTGGGGCCTTTAGGGCAGCAGCCGGAGCACACCGGGCACGGCACTGGGGTCTGCATGACAGCCAGAAGGGCCAACCCTGCTGTGCCCTTCCCAGACCCCCCCGTCACCCCTCTGTGCCAGGCTGGGGGCCAGGGCTCACCATCTCCCACTCTGCACAGATGTAGGGCCCCGGCCGCAGGATCACCAGAAGTCCCAGCTCAGCTGTCAGGTCCAGGAAGGCTTCCACATCCCGGTTCCCAGTGAAGTCATAAACTCCTGGCAGTGTCTCATGGTAGTTCCAGGGGACATAGCTGGGGTGAGAGGGGAGATCAGCATGCAGGAGTTAAGGACACCCCAGCACGACAGGGAACCATCCCACCAGCTGGTCCCTCTGCTTCTGGGAGTTGGCCTGCAGCCTGAGCTGAGTATGGCAACTCGGGCTGGACTGGAACTAGCCCACACTCATGCTTGTGTCTGGCAGGGGTGACCTGGGGGTTGACAGCCAAGTGCAAATGTTGGTGCTTGCTCCCTGTGGTCAGACAACACCCTTGTCTCTGTTCCTAGTGATCCCAGAAAGGCCGTGGTGACAGTGGGCCTGTGCACCGCCATGGCTTACACCTGCACAGCGCTGAGCCCGCTCATGTACATCTTGAGCAGCCGGTCCCTCCAGGCAGGGCGCGGGACACGGGCGTAGTGGATGCTGCCCGAGATGTAGCGGAAAGGGGCACCGTCCTTGAGGAAGCAGTTGTGTTTGTAATCCAGCTGGAAGGAGCGTGCTGAAGGGGAGGCCTGCAGGAAAAAGGAAGAGCTGGAGGCTTGCAGAACCTCCCCGAGCCCAGCCGCCCCCTCCAGGCACTGACGGCGCTGGTTCTCGGAGGTGCCCTCTCCCGAAGTGGATGCCAAACTGTCCTGGGAGAGCAGGAGGGAGGAGCTGAGCCTCCCGCTAATCAAACACCCCGGCTGGGCTGGTGGCATTTGTGGGGATGGTGCTGCGAGGGCAGGGAAGGAGCTGGGAATGCAAGCTGGGACATTGTGGCAGGACACGGGCTGCTGCAGGAGGGAGCTCTAGCATGACGAGCAGGGACACGGATCGGGAAGGCAGATTCGGGAGGCGGCCCACCCGCTCCTTCACAGCTCAGTCCTGTGCGCTTCGTCCACTTTCCACCCTGTTTGCTAACCTGCGTGTGCAGGAGCCCCGCTGCCAGCAGCAGGCCCAGGGCCGGCAGTCCCATCCTCGCCGGGGGCTCGGCAGGCCCGCGATGGGGACGAGGTTGGACGTGGCTCCACTATCACATGATCCGGGAAGGAGCTCGGCCAGCGCTTCCTTCTCCCGGTCCTAAGTGCGGGCAGCTGGAACAGCTGGGGCGGGACCACGGGAAAGGCGTGGGCGGCTCCGACCCTCCAGGTCGGGCCAGCCCTGCAAAGCCCACCCCAGCAGGGGATGCAGCTCCGGCCGGCGGGCACACCGCTGGTGCCCAGTGGGGTGCGCAGTGACAATCAAAGTGAGGGGAAGGGGAGCCTTGTAAAAGCGTCACCAGCAGGCAGAAGCCTTCCATTGAACTCAGCCCGCTTGTTCCATCAGAGCGGTGGTGATGGAAAGCTTGGCTGCATCTTTCGTTGGAGGGCTGCTGCTGCCGGATGAGGGAAAGGAAACCGTCCCCGGGCCGAGGGCTAGAGCTGGTGACAGAGCTAGTGACAGGGGTATCGGGCGGTGCTGCAGGACGGGACGAGCCCGCCGCAAGGCGGAGGGCGGCAGGTCCGGGTCGCGGCGGCAGCGCGCAGCGGAGGCGGTGCGGCCCCGCCCGCCGGGTGACGCGGCGGTGACGGGCGGTGACGGGCGGTGACGCGCGGCGGCCCCGGGCGATGACGCGGTCGGGCGATGGGGCAGACGCTGTGCGTCTGCTCCCGGGGCACCGTCAGCCTGGGGGGAGCGCGGTACCTCCTGCTCCACCGCCTGGCAGAAGGGTGCGCGGCGGGCTGGGGCGCGGGGGGCTCGGGCGGGGGTCCCCGAGCTCCGGGAGGGATGCTCGGGCAAGGGGGGTCCGAGGGCCGTGGGCGTGCTCGGGCGTGGGGGGGATGCTTGGGCGTGTTTGTGTATGGGAGGTGACTTGGCATTGGGGTGATGCTCAGGCGTGGTGGGGAGATGCTTAGGCATGGGGGGTGGTTGTGCATGAGGACATGCTTGGGGATGGGGTGACACTCAGGCACGGGCTGCTCGGGCAGGGTGGGGAGATGCTTGAGTTCAGGTCACCTTGAGGCTTGGGGTATTACTTGGGCTTGTTGAGGGATGATGCTTCAGCATTGGGGGTGCTTGTGCATGACAGATGATTCTCCTGCTGAGCGACAGGGAGGGGTTGGTCAGAAGTGGGTGCTTGGAGCTGTGGGAATGGGGATGTTTGAGCCAGTGGGGTTTTTCATACAGAGAGGGGATGCTTTGGGTTCCTCACAGGTGCCTGCAAGATGGGGAGATGTGCATACCTGGGGAATTCATGCTGCCCTCTGTCCCCCTCCCCTGGGGAGAGTAGATGAGACCGGGTACAAGGCCCCAGCATGGATGTCACAGCCCCCAGCCCATGCTATTCTTGACTGCTTGCAGGGGTTTCAGCTATGTGGACCTGGTGGAGGGGCTGCGGGACGGGCGCTTCTACGCCCTGAAGCGCATCCTGTGCCACGACAAGGAGGACCGCCAGGCCGCCCTGCACGAGGTGGAGATGCACGGCCTCTTCGACCACCCCAACATCCTGCGCCTGGTGGCCCACTGCATGGTGGAGAAAGGCACCAAGCACGAAGCCTGGCTTCTCCTGCCCTATGTGAAGGTGAGGAGGGCTTTCCTGGCTGGCCCACCACCCCAGGAGCAGCAGTAGTGACCAGCTGCTTGTGTTTGCCAGGGTGGAACCCTCTGGAGAGAGGTGGAAGCACTGAGAGAGAAAGGCAGCTTCATGCCAGAGCAGCGGATCCTCCTCATCCTCCATGGGATCTGCCGTGGGCTGCAGGCCATCCACAGCAAGGGCTATGCACACAGGTGAGGGGTGGCAGCACTGGCTGGGAGGATTGGAGGGGCCCCAGTGGGCACTCAGTGATGTCCATCCCCACAGGGACCTCAAGCCCACCAATGTGCTGCTGGATGAGGATGACCAGCCTGTGCTGATGGACCTGGGCTCCATGAACCAAGCTCGCATAGAAGTCAACAGCTCTCGGGAGGCCATGGCTGTGCAGGTGGGTGGCCTGGGACGTCACCCCATGGGCCTGTCCCTGCTCCAGTCCCTTCATCCCCATCCTCCTCTTTGCAGGACTGGGCTGCCCAGCGCTGCACCATCTCCTACCGTGCCCCCGAGCTCTTCACAGTGCCGAGCCAGTGTGTGATAGATGAGCGTACGGATATCTGGGTAAGGATCCAGCCCTCTGGCCTCCCCCATCCCACTGCTACAGCGCTGCACTGACACCACCTTGCTCCAGTCCTTAGGCTGTGTGCTGTACTGCATGATGTTTGGAGAGGGCCCCTATGATGCAATCTTCCAGAAGGGTGACAGTGTGGCTTTGGCGGTTCAGAACCCCCTCACGTTGCCCTCCACAACCAGGTGAAGGGCTGGGGAGGGTGACCCCGTTCCTGGGTGGCCCCCTGTGCTGTGCACCACATGGGTCCTCCCCTCGCTCTTTCTTCCAGATACTCGGCTGCCTTGCAACGCCTGCTCTTCTCCATGATGACAGTGAACCCCCAGGAGAGACCCAGCATAAATGAAATCATCCACCAACTGGAGGGGCTGCAGCCAGCACCAGCAGGGCAGGACACCACACAGATCTGAGCCCATCGCCTTCAGTGGTGACATGTCCTGAGGCTGAGCCAGGGGAAAAGCAGCTGCCCTAATCCCTGCTGTCCTGCAGACCTGTTGCAGAGGGGATTGATGCCCTGGGGGACAGCAGCTGCTCTGTGCTGGAGGTGTGTTGGATTTGGAGTGTTCTGTGCCCTGGATGTTGCTGCCTGGGCCTTGGTCTGTGCCCCTGAGCTGTGGATATGTGATCTGCTGCTAAACATGGGTCCCTTGCCAGCTGCTGCCTTCCTTGGGGGTGGCAGAAGAGGATGTTGTGGGACCCCTCCTGGGGATGGGAGCCGCTGTCCTGCAGCTCTGTGCCCCAGGAAGGTTGCTGCTGCCCGGAGCAGAGCTGCGGGCCGGATCCCGGTGCTGTGCTGGAGGGAGGCAGAGGGAGTGCCCACTCTGCCATTGCTCTTGGCACCGATGTTGCCTTGTGTTTGAAGTAAAGTATGTTCTTGCAGAGCTGTGGCTGTGTCCCTGTCTGCAGGGAGGGGTTCTGCCGGGGCATGGGAAGAGCAGGGCACGCTGTCTGGGCTGGGCAGCCAAGCGTTGCTGGAGGCGAAGGGCAGCAGAGGCCAGCCGGGGCAGCACAGCCAGAGCATTAGCAGTAAGCAGGGAAAGTTAATCCCTGGCCCCAGAATGCTCCTATTGGGAGCTAACACAACTGCAGCTGGAGCCAGACACTGCTGTTCAGAGCCTCCAGAGCTGGGCACTGCGGGACAGGGATCAGCACAGGCACGCAGGCAGTGGCAGGGGTACAGGCAGAACTCTGCTGCCCATGAAGAGGGAGGTAGATGCCCAGACTGGGAAGCTGCCGGACCTTGGGAGGGCAGGATCAGCAGCTCTGCTCTGGTGGGGGTATGCAGAGCATGGGGACAGCACAACCACCCCAGCACTGAGGACACCCCCAGCCCAGGGGGGAGCCTTGGCTGGAGGGGCTCCAGCAGGTGGGCTACCCACGGAGAGGGGGTAAAAAACGAGATTCAGACAAGCAGTTTGACAGGGAGCATTGCCCTCCTTTAATCCTCTCACCGCACACAGCAGTACAGCAGCCGCGGGGTCCGTGCCATGCTGGGTGCCATTGCAGGGTGCACCCACTGCACCAGAGACTGGGCACACTCCTTGCCCTGGATGGTGACCACAGGGGCAGGGCTGCACTGCTCCCACTGCTTCAACCACTATCTTTCCAGGCAAGCCCACCTACCCTTGGGCTGCACTTGAGGAGAAGACCTAAAAGCTGCCATTCTTTCCTTGCTCAGACTAAATCTGCTCTCCTGAGCTCCAGGATACAACACGGGGCCATATATCACATGAGGAAGCGGTAGCCACCCCTGGCTGGAGCAACGAGTAGGGTGGGATGTGTGCCATGGCACCAGGGACTAGACCCCAGGGCTCTTACCTGCACAGGTAGCAAGCTGGAGCTGGAGCAGAGCACTGGGAGGAAGCATAGCAGCACCAGTAGCAGGGCTGAAGCACTCACCACACACCTGACCTGGCAAGAAACCGATACAGCTGGGGGAATACTGGGACACACGGAGGCTCTGAAACGGTTTATTGCAAAGGGTTTGCAGGTAACACAGGGAAGGAGCGTGGTCCTTTTTTGGCTGAGGCTTCTCTACTCCTCACCCTCTTCTTCATCCTCGTAGGAGTCCAGGCCCACTTCCTCATAATCCTTCTCCAGAGCAGCCATGTCTTCCCGTGCCTCAGAGAACTCCCCTTCCTCCATGCCCTCGCCCACGTACCAGTGCACGAAGGCGCGCTTGGCGTACATCAGGTCAAACTTGTGGTCCAGGCGAGCCCAGGCCTCGGCGATGGCCGTGGTGTTGCTGAGCATGCAGACGGCGCGCTGCACCTTGGCCAGGTCGCCCCCTGGCACCACCGTGGGTGGTTGGTAGTTGATGCCCACCTTGAAGCCCGTGGGGCACCAGTCCACAAACTGGATGCTGCGTTTGGTCTTAATGGTGGCGATGGCAGCGTTGACGTCCTTGGGCACCACGTCCCCGCGGTACAGCAGGCAGCAGGCCATGTACTTGCCATGGCGAGGGTCACACTTCACCATCTGGTTAGCTGGCTCGAAGCACGAGTTGGTGATTTCGGCTACCGACAGCTGCTCGTGATAAGCCTTCTCTGCAGAGATGACAGGGGCGTAGGTGGCCAGGGGGAAGTGAATGCGAGGGTAGGGCACCAGGTTGGTCTGGAACTCGGTCAGATCCACATTCAGGGCTCCATCAAACCGTAGTGATGCTGTAATGGATGAGACAATCTGACTGATGAGTCTGTTCAAGTTGGTGTAGGTTGGGCGCTCGATGTCCAGGTTCCGACGGCAGATGTCGTAGATGGCCTCGTTGTCCACCATGAAAGCACAGTCCGAGTGCTCCAGTGTAGTGTGGGTTGTGAGAATGGAGTTGTAGGGCTCTACCACAGCAGTGGAGACTTGTGGTGCTGGGTAGATGGAGAATTCCAGCTTGGACTTCTTGCCATAATCAACAGAGAGTCGTTCCATCAACAGGGAGGTGAATCCAGAGCCGGTGCCACCTCCAAAACTGTGAAACACCAGGAAGCCCTGGAGGCCTGTGCACTGGTCAGCCTGTGGAGAGAGATGAGGAGGGATTACTCTGAGATACATTTCTTTGTGACAATCTGGCTGCCCACAAGTCCCTTCAGGACCTGGTGTATCCCTGCCCTGGTCAGATTCACATCCCACCCAAGGCGCAGCATGGCTTGCAGTGTGTTCTGAGCCCCAGCAGGATGGTGCACCCCAGTCTAGGGAGACACATCCCCTCTCTGCAGTCACTCACCAGCTTACGGATCCTGTCCAGCACTTGATCAATGATCTCTTTGCCGATGGTGTAGTGCCCACGGGCGTAGTTGTTGGCAGCATCCTCCTTGCCAGTGATCAGCTGCTCGGGGTGGAAGAGCTGCCGGTAGACTCCTCCCCGAACCTCATCTAGGAGAGAACAGGGGCAGGTTGAGCCCAGGGGAGGCTGCTGGTTTGAGCCGGCCGCCAAGCAGACACGTGGGTGCCAGCAGCCGTCCCTCATGGGCTCCGCCTGCCCTTGGCATGGCCAAGGACCCACACGTCAGCAGAGCCAACGCCAGCATCAGGTTTCTCTGGCATGAGGCTGCCACCTCCCTGCACAGCTCAGCTTCTCCCACCCTTCAGGAGCTGCCTGCCCACAGCACAGCAGGAGCTGCCCTGCCGGTTGGGCTGGTTTCTCTCTGTGCACATGTGGTACAAGCACTGCTGACTCTACGACATTTCACGAACAAAAGCAGGTGCTCATGTTTGTGGCTTCTCCCGGGAAAAAAATGGGCCCTCGGGTCGAAGCCGGTGCAGGATATTGTCAGAAGACCACGAGCACCAGCTGCCTGCTACCCACCCCTGGGGGCATCTCAGGCTGTGTGAACTCCAAGGAGCATCCTGCAATGGGTTGTTGCTCAAAATAATGACCACTCTCAGAGCCCAATCAGGGTGCACTCACCAATCACGGTGGGCTCCAGGTCCACGAAGATGGCCCGGGGGACGTGCTTGCCAGCCCCAGTCTCACAGAAGAAGGTGGTGAAGGAGTCGTCCCCCCCGCCGATGGTTTTGTCGCTGGGCATCTGCCCGTCGGGCTGGATGCCGTGCTCCAGGCAGTACAGCTCCCAGCACGTGTTGCCCATCTGGACGCCGGCCTGGCCGACGTGCACGGAGATGCACTCGCGCTGGGGAGGGGAGGCAGGGTCACAGCCTGGCACAACTCTGTCCTGCCTGCTCCAGGGAGGGCTCTAGCTGGTGCCAGTGCCACAGAGTCACCCACACCGGACCTGCTCTGGTCAGTGATGCCAGAGAGGACATTTTCCTTTGGGTGACTTCCTGAGCGACTCCCCATAGCTGGTGTTGCTCTCAGCCATGAAAGGCACCATGCTGGACCAAAAGCCAGCTTTGGCATCCCTCTGGCCCCTGCCTCACTAGGGGCCACCAGCTCAATGGACTCTGGCTGAGCCTGTCCTCCAGCAGTAAGGGGAGCAGAGCCTGGCTCAGCTACTCTCCCTAGCAGCCTCAGCCCCTTCCCCATGCAACAGCAGTCCAGTGAGGAGCTGAGCTGACAGGTACACACATTTAACCCATGAGGGGCAATCAGCATGGGCAAACCCCTCTGCCTGCGGCTCCAGAGCCAGATAAGCAGTATTGTGGCCTTGGGGACGCAAGGGAGGTAGGTGGCAGCCAGGTAAGCGCTGGCAATGAAGACCAGCAGTTTCTGAGGCAGCACAGATTCCCTGGGCTACACAGTTCCAACGCTGTGCTGCAAACCCCGTGTTGGCAGAAGTGCTGAGGAGCAGGCTGCGAGCTGGAGATGTGCCTCATGCACTCCATTCAGGAGGTGCAGGCCTGTTCCGCTACTCCAGCATCCCTCCTCTGCCTGTCCCTGGCACCCGCCTCTGCTAGTCCTAGCATCCCTGTTTCACTGCTCCCGGCATCCCTGCCTCCCTGAGCAGGACACCCCGACTCAGCCTCGAGGTCCTGGAGCAATCGACTCCTGCATTCCCCAACTGCACAGTGCCCTTAGCCCTGACGGGGTCCGTGCTTGGCCCAGCACTCGGGGAGGACAAGGGCTCCTTCTTCCCGCGGGAGGGCCAAGAGCAGCCCCAGCCACAGAGAGGAGGGGCGGGCAGCTGGGGGCAGGTTCCCCGGCAGGGCCCGGGCAGCGCTGCGGTGGGCAGAGCTCTGCGCTGCGCCTTCTGGCACGGCCCCGACCCACTCCTGAGCCGCTAAATATAGACAGCTCCGGCCCCGGGCGGGGGGCAGCGGCCACTGCCCGCTTCCGAGAGCGTCCCCAGCCCGCTCCGCCGCTAACAGACGCCCGCGGGACGGGACTGAAGGGACGGGACCCCATAGAGGTTCCCCGCCGCCAGCCCCGATGGGGCGGGCGCTGCCGCGGGGAGAGCCCCACCGAACGCCCCGCTCCGGCCCGCTGTGCCCGGCGGGCGCCTCCGCCCTCGGCAGCTGTCCCCGTCCATCCGCGGCCACCGCTCCCCGCCGGAGAGGTCACCCCGGTCTGTCCCCAGCGCCCCCCCGCGCTGCGCCGGCGGAGGCGGTGGCGGTGGGGGGGGCGGGCGCCCCGGTGCCGGTGGCGGCGGGCAGGGGGGCACAGCGCGACGGGGGCGCGGCTGCCCCCGGGCAGGGGCCGGTAGCGCTGCCCAAGGTCACGGCGGGGAAGGAGGGGGCGCGTCGCGACGGCTCCAGCGGGCACGGTGCTGCGGGGGCACTGCCGGGGGTGCCGGGCGCCCTCCCGCCGCCGTGCCCGCCCCCGGCCCGCACTCACCATGTTGCGGCGGGTGGTGCGGGCTGTCCCGGGGCTCTGTGCGACGGGGCTCGGCGCGGAGCTGCGGCTGCTGCAATCCCCGCCGCAGCGCTCTCTTATAGGTGGGAGGGGCTTGTGCCGCCACGCCCCCTTATTTGGGTACACTTGCATGCGGGAGGGAGTCCCCCCCTCGGGGGCCGCGGGAGCCCGGCGGGGTCCTCCCGGCTGCGGAGAAACCCCGAGGTGCGGGGCCCGAAGCTGCTCCCCCTTCTCTGCCCGAAGGAAGGCGGGGGCTGCGGTCCAGGCTGTCGGCAGGAAGGCTGGGGACCAGCCCTCAGGGGTGACGGGCAGTGCTGAGCCACCCGCAGCGGAGGCAGAGCAGGTAGAACAGTCCCTAACCTATTCTGCTACCACCTCCCCCAGGGATATGGGGAGACCCTGAGTCCACCTGGGCCTCTAGAACAGCAGAAAGGCAGAGAAACACGGTAGAGACATGAATCATATTCAGGAGCCCATTTTGTCCCCCAAATCTCCCTTTGCCATCGATGCTCTGGGAGGCTCCAGCCAAGGTTTGCCCTTCTCTCCCAGTGGGGACAGAAAGGCAGTGCTGCACAACCCTGTGAGGCTGCAGATCTGCATGACAAATCTGGGCTGCCAAAAAAGGGTCATTGCAGCCTGCTTGCTGTTAATAACTTGTGACTACATTCAGAGCAGCAGCTCTGTTTGAGCCCTGGCCAGTGCAGACACCCCTGCCAAGGCTAGGGCTGATCCTGCTACTGAGGATGCCTGGACCATCAGCCTTGAGTGCTGCCTGAGCAGGGAGAGGCTCTGTCTTCGATGCCAGGACCTTGGGTCACACAGCTACCCCTCCCTGGCCATGGGGATGGATGCGCCTCTGCTGCTCAGCACCATGCCAGGAGACACTACTGGGTCCCTTGTCCAGGTCAGAGGTGAGGATAACTTCTAGAAAAAGCTTAGGACACAATTCCAACTCCTACATCCTTCTGGTGGCAGTCATGTCTGTGAAGACACAGGGAGATGTCAGCAATGAAATTACTCTGAAGGAGCAGATTCCTTCCTTTCCCCACAATCAGACAAGACATAAGGAGTGGATCAGAGCTGCACCTGATGTGAGGGGCAGTGACTCCTGCCCTGGTATAGCAGCAGCAGCCACTGCTCAGTCTGAGCCTGGCACTCCAGTCTCAGGCAAGCAGAGCAGTGCCAGCAGCCCTGTGCAGAGGGATGAGTGCCTGGCTGTGCTCCAGCAGCCAGGGCTGGCCCCCACTCTCCCCTCCAGCGGACACGAGTGCATGCTGGGAAGAGGAGGGCAGGGGAGGACAGCCCCCCGTGGGTCAATATAGATGGAGCATTAGTGGTAAGCAGGGAAAATTAATCTCTGGAAACAGCACACTGGATAATGGGTAACAGAAATCTCTGGTTTGCAGCTGGAGGCAGGAGCTGATGCTGGGACTCCTTACCACCAGGCAGGGCAGTGAGAGGATTCAGAATGGGGACAATGCAGAAGATGATGTGGGCTGGGTAGAGTGGGGCCACTTGCCCCAGGGGGAAGGCAGAGCAGGGCAGGCCGAGGGCAGAGGTACTCCCAGACAAAGGACCCAATGCCTAAATTTGGTACTTCTATCACATCAGCAGCACTCCTGCAAATCCCTTTGGTGGACGTCCTCCAGCACCTTCCTAGAGCCTGCCGTGTGTCCTGGACATATCCCTCTGCTATGGGGCTCTCAGCCAAGGGGGGATCTGCGGCTGGAGAAGACCTGGGAGGAAGCATGGCAGCACCAGTAGCAGGGCTGAAGCACTCACCACACACCTGACCTGGCAAGAGACCGATACAGCTGGGGGGATACTGGGACACACGGAAGATCTGAAATGGTTTATTGCAAAGGGTTTCTGCAGACAATAGGGGCAGGAAGCATGGTCCTTTTTAGGCCTGTAGCTTCTCTACTCCTCACCCTCATCTTCATCCTCGTAGGAGTCCAGGCCCACTTCCTCGTAATCCTTCTCCAGAGCAGCCATGTCTTCCCGTGCCTCGGAGAACTCCCCTTCCTCCATGCCCTCGCCCACGTACCAGTGCACGAAGGCGCGCTTGGCGTACATCAGGTCAAACTTGTGGTCCAGGCGAGCCCAGGCCTCGGCGATGGCCGTGGTGTTGCTGAGCATGCAGACGGCGCGCTGCACCTTGGCCAGGTCGCCCCCTGGCACCACCGTGGGTGGCTGGTAGTTGATGCCCACCTTGAAGCCCGTGGGGCACCAGTCCACAAACTGGATGCTGCGTTTGGTCTTAATGGTGGCAATGGCAGCGTTGACGTCCTTGGGCACCACGTCCCCGCGGTACAGCAGGCAGCAGGCCATGTACTTGCCATGGCGAGGGTCACACTTCACCATCTGGTTAGCTGGCTCGAAGCACGAGTTGGTGATTTCTGACACTGACAGCTGCTCATGATAAGCTCTCTCAGCAGAAACCACAGGAGCATAGGTGGCCAGGGGGAAGTGAATGCGAGGGTAGGGCACCAGGTTGGTCTGGAACTCGGTCAGATCCACATTCAGGGCTCCATCAAACCGTAATGATGCCGTGATGGATGAGACAACCTGGCTGATGAGTCTGTTCAAGTTGGTGTAGGTTGGGCGCTCGATGTCCAGGTTCCTACGGCAGATGTCATAGATGGCCTCGTTGTCCACCATGAAAGCACAGTCCGAGTGCTCCAATGTACTGTGGGTTGTGAGAATGGAGTTGTAGGGCTCTACCACAGCAGTGGAGACTTGTGGTGCTGGGTAGATGGAGAATTCCAGCTTGGACTTCTTGCCGTAATCAACAGAGAGTCGTTCCATCAACAGGGAGGTGAATCCAGAGCCAGTGCCACCTCCAAAACTACGAAACACCAGGAAGCCCTGGAGGCCTGTGCACTGGTCAGCCTGTGGAGAGAGACATGTAACGCTCCCTCAAGCACTGACTTGGCTGGAGGGAAGTTTCAGACTTTTGTTTGTGTAGCTGCAGATTCCTCCCAAGGTGCAGCAGAGCTCACCCCATGCTCCCACCCCCTTAATGATGCTCGACCCCAGTCCAGGGAGACACATCCCCTTTCTGCAGTCACTCACCAGCTTACGGATCCTGTCCAGCACTTGATCAATGATCTCTTTGCCGATGGTGTAGTGCCCACGGGCGTAGTTGTTGGCAGCATCCTCTTTGCCAGTGATCATCTGTTCAGGGTGGAAGAGCTGCCGGTAGACTCCTCCCCGAATCTCATCTAGGAGAGAGTGGCAAAATAGATTTGCTAACTGGATCTGGGGAAAGGTAGCAGGAGCGCTCTTGGGAGCATCCTGCAATGGGTTGTTGCCCAAAATAATGACCACTCTCAGAGCCCAATTGGGGTGCACTCACCAATCACGGTGGGCTCCAGGTCCACGAAGATGGCCCGGGGGACGTGCTTGCCAGCCCCAGTCTCACAGAAGAAGGTGGTGAAGGAGTCGTCCCCCCCGCCGATGGTTTTGTCGCTGGGCATCTGCCCGTCGGGCTGGATGCCGTGCTCCAGGCAGTACAGCTCCCAGCACGTGTTGCCCATCTGGACGCCGGCCTGGCCGACGTGCACGGAGATGCACTCGCGCTGGGGAGGGGAGGCAGGGTCACATCCCAGCAGAGACCAGAAATGCAATCACTGTGGGAAGTGCACAGCCCTGGAAGGGCTTGGGCAAGCCACTCTGCCCTGGTGCCTGGGTGCCTGTTTCCATTTCAGTTTTCTGCTTTCTCCCAAATCTAGTGCTCTGCCTCTCATCACTGCACTGACCACCTCAGGGGCCCAAGGAGATCAAGACCCATCTGCAGCAGCCCAGGATATCAGGCCACCCATACCCTGGACTGGCCTAAACCACAGCCCTGGATAGCATCCAGTGAGCATCGTCTTCATTGCCCAAATATCCATGTGGCTTAAGGGCTGAGGCCCTGCAGCATCTGGCACAGCCCCTGTTGCTAATCCAACAACAGAGCTGGAGGCTGAGATGGCAGAGCACCACCAGGACACTGGGAGCTGAGGGCACTGAGGATGGCTGCCCAGCAAGAGGGGAGATTTACAAACATGAATGGTTGCCATGCTCTGAGGCTCAGCTTCCCTAAATTAGCTCTAGAGGGGGAGGAAGCATTAGCTGCACTTTTTAAGTCAACAGAAAGGCTGAGGTGGGAGGGTATCCTAGCTCACAGCTTCAAGGGTCCCCCAGGAGAAGCCAGGTGAGGGGCTCTACAACCTCACTCCCTTCAGGTGAGGTACCCCAGAGCCTGCAGTTCTTTTGGTAAGAATGAAAGTATTCAGTGCCTTAGACCTGCTGTTGCCAAGGATTTGGATGTGTCATCAGGCACAACTGAGTCAGAGGAGCATCCAAATCAAGGCGGATTTCCAGAGCCGTGGTGCCCCACTATGAGTCAGCTGGCAGGAAGCTGGTGGAACCAGCCATTTTGCAGGAGCAGGGCAATGGCTGCTGTCCCACAAAGTTGCACAGGATGCAGCATGTCCTGGCTCTCTGCATCTAAAGTGCTCTCAGTGCTGCCTTTCAGAGGCAGCAGTGACAGTGAGGCATGGCAAAATAATAAGCCCTTGATAGCCATGGCGAGAGGCAGAAGCCCATATCCTCACCTTTCCCAAAGCTGAGGTGCAAGAAGAGCAAGGCAATACCCCACCTATCCCTCTCAGCAGGTCCATAAATGTTGTGTAACACAAGAAGCCAAGGGTAAGACCTGAGGACTTAAGACCTGAGGTAAGTCTTCCAAGATCCTCTACAGAAGGGCACAGAAAACACTTGGCACAGATGCAAGCACCTCAAGGAAGAGGAGATGAGAGAGGACTGCTTCCTGGCAAGGGTCCTTGTGAATCAGTGTGGGGGTGGCAGAGGGTTATGCTGCTCACTGCACTTCTTCCCAACAACAAGCAGCAGCCAGGACCGGCTCTGTGGGGCCCAGTGCTGACAACAGGCTGGGCAGAGCCCAGCAGCGCCAGGATGCAGCAGTGCTGCTCACCAGCCAGTAGACTCTGCCTTCTTCACGGCAGGGGCTGGCACAGGAAGGGCTGGGAGCGTGGCTCCGCGGGACAGCAGGCAGGGTGCCCGGGAAACCTTGGGGCTGGGATGCTCTCCAGGGCAGCTGGAGAGCTCACGAGCCAGAGATGGCCACAGGACCACGGCGGCAGGGCAGCCTGGAAGCCCACCCACAGTGATGCCCACCCTTGGAGCAGGGCAGTGGGTGAAGGAAGCCACAGCTTACTGCCGGAGCTCAGCTGTGAGCCAGCAGCGTGGGGGGCTGGCAGACTCCCCGCAGCCGGGGATGGCACCGCGGGACACGGGCAGGAACCGACACTACTACAAGTGGGAGAGGGATGAAACGTGGCGTGTCCGCCCCGTGAGCACCGTCTCCGCAGCCGCGGGGCTCGCTGGTGGCCTCCTTGCCACGGGTACAAGGGGATGCCTAAAGAAGGGAGGCTGCTGAGAGCCGGGGAGGGAGCAGCTCAGGAAGAGGCCGAAGCCAGGCAAAGGCAGGGCGGGCACGGCGGGCAATCCCGTCGCCAGCTGCCCGCATGGCTGGGCTCCCGGCAGAGCTCTCCCGGGAAGGCGCGGAGAGCCCAGCCCGCTCCGGGGTGCACCGGCGGGACCGGAGGGAGGGAGCAGCCGGGGCTGGCACTCACCATGATGCCGCCGCTGCCGCACGACCTGCCTGTTCCCGAACTGCCGCAGCTCCGCGCGCCGGGACGGCCCCGCCACCGCCGCCTTATACCGGGGGCGGCACCGGCGCTCCGGGGCGGGCCGCCCCGCCCGGGACGGCCCCGAGCGCTTTCATAGATTCGCGTGCATTGCGCATATTTGCATAGATTTGCATAGATGGGGCTGTGCTGCCTGGCGGGGTGCACTGGTAGGGCATTCGGGGAGCAGCATCCCCTGAGTGGGGCACGGGAGACCCGGGGGTCCCCCCGAGGAAAGGGCAGTGGGGCATAAGTGTTGTTCCTGCTATGCTTGCCAGTCTTGGCAGAGGGATTCTGCTGAAGAACAGAGATGGCACCTTCCAGCTTGGTGTCCTGCTGGTGAACGGCACCATCCAGGCACTAACCAGGAGGGACTCCGGGGGTTGAAGCAGGAAAGCCAGCAAAGAGCCTGGCCCAGGTCCTCCCTCCTGGTGGGCTTAGGTGCTGATGTGATCCTTGAGCAAGCAGTGAGCCAGGTCTCTGGCAGCCACCCAAGGCTTCTTGAAAAACACCTGGGAGAATTTCTGGAGGAAACCCTGGTGGAGGAAACCCTCCAGAGATGAGCCCAAACTTTCCTAACCTCTTTGGAGATGACTGAGAAAAAAAGCAGGAAAACTCAATCCTGTCCTTTGTGTCAAGCCCCCTCAAGCACAGTTGTGCCCTAGGGCTGTGTTGAAAGCCTGCCAAAGGGCTTCTTCTCCATCCTGGCTCTGCATTACCTTCCCTGGTTTGATCTGATCTCACAAAGCTTTATGAAATGAATAGTGAGGGTGTAGGGAGAGCTTGGAGCACCTTGGAGGGGTTTTATTGGAATCTACAGTGACTTCACTGATGTCTGGCCTTACTACAATGAATAATGTGTCCAACCCCCTCCAAAATACTCAAAGCATCCACTGTGGAGCAGAACCAGCCCTGCATCTGCCTCAGCACTCTGACTTAATGATTTTTCACTGAAAAGTGCTGTCATCTCTCAGCTTGATCTGAAAGTTGAAAGCTGGACCTAAATTATCCACCCACAATAGCCTTTCTTTGTGCCTGAGTCACCTGGAAAGTGTCACCTTCACTGATGAGCATGTGAAAAATGACTGATTGCAAGAGTACTTCTGCAAAGCCTGTGCTGGTGTCTAAGCAACACATTTTTGAGACCTGCAGAAATGGCTGAGCCAGAGGATCAGAGTGGGTTTAATCAAGTTGATGGGAAAATACTGAGTTTTGTGTGGTTTTTTTGTTTTTTGTTTTTTGTTTTTTGTTTTTTTTCCACAGAGATGCCCCAGGTAGTAAGTGCTGCTGAACCTGCAGAGGATTCTGTGGTGACTGGATAACTCTGGAAATGCCTCCCTGTGGTATAAATGTCCTTTGAGTGACCTCAGAGATCACTAGATAACACAGACCATGCTGATGCAGACAGTCCATGAGAGTGAGAGAGTAATTGGTAGCACTGAGGCATCAAAATTTGAGCCCCAGAAGTTAATTGGAGTGAAAAGGAGTGATGGTATCACCATCCCTGTGAAAATCTCCACCAAGGTGTTCATTGTAACATGTAGTGGATGCCAGGGAGTCACTTCTCACTGGGTGTGTCCTAGAACCTTCCTTAATTCCACGGTGCCAATTAATTCTGGGGCATTTATAGCATGAATGCCTTCAGCGTGGTTGGAAGCAGAGCTAGGCAGCCAGCAGCATTTCAGGCTGTGCAGTTCACCAAATTCTGAAGATTCACATAATGATCTGATGGTACCCAGGAGTGCAAAATCATGGACTAGTTTATGTACCATGGTGGTGGAGGGTTGAGAGTGAAATGTCCCTGATTTGTCAATGCTGCAAATGCGTGTTCACAGTGAAAATATCCACTCAGATGCTGTTTTGTTGGGCAATCACAGTGGGAATAACTGACAAGAGAGCCATGAGTCATTGGGAGCTGCGCATCCCCACGTGCCTCTGATCTGAAATGCCCAAACAGATGTCTAAGCTTTTTTGAAATGCTTAAGAACATCTGGCTAAATCCAGGGAGCACCAATCAGCTGCATCTTGTCAGTGCCTAACTGCTCAGCAGCCTGCCAGATGCTGGTAGCAGCAGCCTGAAAGCACACAGTGGAGGCTGAGCTCACTCTGGCTGGATTTGTCCTGAGGCAACCCCTCTCTTACAGAGATGTTACCCACACATCTCATAAGGCCCTGCAAATGTTTTCAGACAACATCAGAAGTCACATGATTACAAGAATTGCTCAGGAAACATTTTCATTGATGCTCAGAACATAGTTAGACCCTGCATCAGCAACCAGAGAGATGCAAATAGCAAGCAAGGAAAATTCTAGGCTATAGAGTCAGAATTCAACCATCTCTTTAGTGAAGGATGGGAAAATCATTGAAGATACCTGAGGGGCAGAGCCCTGCCCGCTGCAGGGAAGCCCCTGCTTGCCACTGTCAGAAACCAGCCAGCTCTTGGCAGGTACCTGCTGGTACAGGAACACCTCTGAGCAGAGCTTGCACTTACCCAAACAAAGCCTCTCTCTCTCTATAGCTGTCTTCCAGAAGTATTTTAAAGACTGCCACACCTAAAGCACCCAGAGCTGAAACTGGAGAGGAGATGAGTTCAGAGCCCAGCCTGGTACCTCCCATCCACACCCCAGTTCCCTGCTCTCTTTGCTGAGGAAAGCCCAAACTATTGTTCCCAGTTTTCAGACCTCAGTTCCACCCTGCCTGCTCCAGGCAGAGCAAATAGTGTCACAGGGCAGTTTGGGGACATGGCCTTCTTGGGAAGGTAGAAGAGAGCACATCTGTGCTGTGGGTTTGGCAAGGAAGCCCACTGTGCCCTCCACTTTAAAGCAAAGACCAGATGGTGAGAGGTGCTTCAGGAGCAGGGCTCCTGTCTGTGTCTCTAATCTCT